TTTTGACTGGGTCCCCCAGTATAGCCCTTCTCTCCCATTTTTTTTGGGGAGGGTTCCCCTACTACAATAGAGTACAGAAAAAATGGTACCCTTGTCCTAACCTCTCTACTGGAGGATCTAGTTGAGGTCTTTGGCGCCCGGGGTTAGTGACATCCTCACTCGGCGTTGCCGACGTTGCCCCACCGCTTCTTTGGGGAAAAACCGCGGAGGTGCCGCAGCTTCGGCATTGTCCGATTCGGAGCAGGCGAAGCGAGGGCGAAGCTTCGGTTTAGTCGGCACTATCTGACTTATTTGGGCGATGAATTTAGTTTGACACAATCTTATCTGGGGTTATGACTCTAAGATAATGTAACGTGAAGCAATGAATTTATGTATCTGCGAGGCTTGGTGACCTCTTTGTGTTTTCCGGGTTGCTCCTGGATGGATCCACTTAAATGAATAAAGTTGCGATGTTTCGCCAGGCCTCCCCAAAATCCCCCAACGCCGGTCTTTTTTCCTGTTTTGGGGGGAACGGATCTCGTAGGCGTGGAGTTGGCAAAGGATCAAAAGCGCGGCAAGTGCCCCACGGCCTGAAAGGAAGTTCTGCAGCGCCGTGGGGTCCATGCCAAATATCGGCTTGGGTCCTTTAAGCCTATCCCTGGTGCGATACCTAGGCAACGAGAAACGGAATGAACTGGAAGGGGAGTCCCTAGGAAACCACCAGTTGGATGGTTTGGACGGGTCATTCCCACATTCTCGTCACCAGCAAGATCATTAGGCCACCTGGTAGACATGTCCCTTCTTGTCCTGCTTGCTGATGATGGATTAGAAATTGGGGTCCCCCCCCCAATTTCAAAAAGCAGTCAGTGAGGCTTGCCTTTACCCTGTTTGCCGGCTTGGCATCCACTAACCTAGCTTGATGGGCGTGGGTCAGAGTCTTGTGCGCGTCGAAGCAACAAGCATGGTGGGTTTCTCAAAATAGCGGTCCCCCAACAGGGCTGGCCGAAAGGGGGTCCACTATGTCGAGAAGCACTCAAGTTAGGGGTTTGCAAAAGTTTGAACATGTTGCACCTGAAACCAGACTAGCTGCTTACAATTTGCGCCCCAATATCTAGATTGGTTGGCCTGATTTGCTCCACTTTGGATAGCCGAAGTCGTGACACAATTTTATTTCGGCAGAAGCGTTCTCTTGCTGTTGGTGTGTCTCACTCCCCGAGTTCCTGGACTTTAAGCTTTTTGGCAAAACCATTTTAGTGGTAAACAAACAGTTTAGACTTTGTCTGGCCAATCCACTCAGGAAGTGAGGTGGTAGGGTTCCATCTTGGAAACATGGACTGTGTAGCGCTCCTGGCCGCGCACCCTGAAGAAACATTGCTGAGAGAGGGGTGTTCTGCGGGAGGGGTGCGTGACTTCTGCTGCTCCAGTTTCTCCATTGTTGAGCTATGCTTGCGCCGAATTGCCAAATTGCAAACATGCTGCCAAGGTGAAAGCAGGTTGGGCGGGTTGTGAGAGGGAGAAAAGTAGGAGATACCGCAACCATCTTGCAGAGTTCCCGCTGGACGGATGTTGGGAGATACAGCCGGCGAGGCATTTCGGATTTCGGACAGCCAGGCGGCGAGATATTTGCAAACTGTCTTGCCCAGCGGCGAGATTGTGGTCCTTCACTGTTTCCAGCGGCGAGATTCTTGGCTGACAACACCAATCGCGGCGAGATACTCCAGGAGTAGCTCTCCGCCCAGCCCTGCCCTCGAGAACCAGAAATCTCTCCAACTTGGGCCTGGTGCCAACCCCCTCAAAGTGGAGAGCTACTCTGGGAGTAGCTCTCCGCTCCTATTTGTGGAGTCTTACTGAGTGCTTCAGGAACCAACACAATCTTAACCAGACAGACTTGGGCCAAATCAGCCCATGAAAGGCCCCACAAATAGGCGCGGAGAGCTACTCCCAGAGTAGCTCTCCACTTTGAGGGGGTTGGCACCAGGCCCAAGTTGGAGAGATTTCTGGTTCTCGAGGGCAGGGCTGGGCGGAGAGCTACTCCTGGAGTATCTCGCCGCGATTGGTGTTGTCAGCCAAGAATCTCGCCGCTGGAAACAGTGAAGGACAACAATCTCGCCGCGAGAGTTTGCAAATATCTCGCCGCCTGGCTGTCCGAAATCCGAAATGCCTCGCATCTCCCAACATCCGTCCAGCGGGAACTCTGCAAGATGGTTGCGGTATCGCCTACTTTTCTCCCTCTCACAACCCGCCCAGCCTGCTTTCACCTTGGCAGCATTTTGCAATTTGGCAATTCGGCGCAAGCATAGCTCAACAATGGAGAAACTGGAGCAGCAGAAGTCACGCACCCCTCCCGCAGAACACCCCTCTCTCAGCAATGTTTCTTCCTGGTAACCGTCAAACAATGCAAAGGGCAGCACCGGTTGAAGACAAACAAAACCAACCAATTTCCTGCAGCTTCTCCCGCAACTGGTACAATCCTACCACCTACGTACATTTAGAGCTTTTTCTCAGACTTTCGGATTGCGATACAATTCAGACATGTTGTTAATAGCCAGGCTCGCGCATGCGACGGTTAAACAATTGCATTTGAGAGGTTTGGACAAGTTGTTTTTGTTAGGGCCAGTTTAAAGTGGTTTTGGGCTTAGTGCAGGGTGGGTTGAGGGTGGGTTGACCGGTTGACCGGTTGACCGAGCCCGCACAGGCTGTGGTGGAGACAGGGCTCTCGGCCGCCCTGGCCTTCATGCAGTCGAAAGGGGAGTCTGCCTCTCGATTTGGAACAAAGTCTCTGCCCAGAGGGTCCAAGTACCTTAAGGAGGTACTTAGACACATTCCTTACCCCCTGAGGAGGTACTTGGACCCTCTGGGCTGGACATTTCATACTGTGGACGGACGAAATCCTGTCTCTGGAGCGATGATTCCCATGTAACTACCAGCAAACAAGGGCATTAAGTGTGGATGGACGATGCCTGCACCACCAAAGAAACCCTGGAGTGATGATTCTTTAGATACCAACAAACGTTATGGTTCCAACCCTGGTTTCAAAGTGGTGCGAATTGAATATTCAATGTGTCAATGGCGCGGTCGCTAAGATGGCTGGCTTTGTCTCTGATGGGACACAGCAACGAGTGTGCCTCAAGAGAGACGCATTTTCGTACTTGAAGGGAAACACAGGAACACCTTGTGCCTAGTTCTGGGAGCACCCAGATGCGTCCATTCTTACGGAAACCATTGGGGGATGGATGCGTTTGCCCCCCAGCCCCTGTTCAAGAACCAACACAGTTTTGATCTTAGCCTCGCTAAGCCATGTCTGGGAGACCATTTTTGGGGGGAGACCATCTCTGGGGGCGGAGACGTGGCTGTCAGTAGAGCAGAAGTCAGTGACAGAAGTGCCATCCTGGGAATTGGCAAGAGCAGGGGTCCAACTCGAAGGGCCATTGAATATGAAGTTTCATTGGGTGGTCGATGAATTGCGGAGCTTCTTTTGCTGTTAGATGATCACTTGATGCGCCAGAAAGGGGCTCTATGTTTGCTTCCCCTTTAAGCCAACCCCTAAACAAGAGTTTCAATACAGTACACACACACACACGCTCGTTCTTCGATTGGCAAACTGAGGAGTTCTACAGCCCTTCGAACGGAGAGCTCGTGGGGATGCTGTCCCAGATGATGTCCAGCATGAAGGACGGAGACCGCGTGCCCAATGAACCAAAGGGCTGTGCGCAGAATCATTTGAGCCACAATCAATGAGTAGTTAAAGGTTAGTAAGGGACCATCTCAACCATACACAGGTGCAGAAATCCACCCTTGCGATTCATGAATTGGGGGCACGCCTGCAGGCCAAAACCCACCAGATTTTGATTGCGTGTGTATGTGACAGATCCTTTTCCAGAGCTGAATTTACTGACAGCTGTGGTTTTCGGAGGACATTGGCAGGGGGCACTCAAATTGTCCAGCCAGGCCCCACCAAGTTTTCCATGTCTTACGCAGGGCGCGTTTGAACAATTCTGCATCCAAAACACCTCTGTGTACTTTCATGTGTTAAGGGCTGGTGCTGGCACGCCTGCTGCCAATTGACAAACAGACAATCCACCAGTGGTTTTATGTGTTCCACCACAGATGGTGGCAAGACGTGCAAACCTCAAGCTTGTTTTCACCCTTTTCTCGATTGGTCCCCAATGCTTGCTTCTGTGAGCATGTCAGTGACTGGCGCTTGCCCTGGAAGAGATGATCAATTGCCACGCCTGTGACGTAGAGGTAGAAACGGTTGGGCACACATCAGGTCTTTGCAAGAAGAGGAAACATGTCGTGACACTTTGAGATGATGTTTCAACCCTCACAGAAATGGACGTGTCTATCTTCTGCTTGTGATGCGTGCTGGGCAATATTTTACGGAAGCGGTCGCTGCTAAGCAACACCATGGTCCATGATGCAAAGATGTTCGAGCACAGCACCACCCCAATGAGCCCATACTTTCCAGACCCCCCTGAGGGGACCAAGTCATTCACTTCCAGGATTACTGTGGATGCCCGAAATTCTGCACCACCAAAAAATCTTGGAATGATGATTCCCCTGTAAATACCAACAAGCACTGGTTTTTCAAGGTTTCAACTTGGTGCGAACTGGATTTCGCAACCATCCACAGCACGAACCCCCACCCCCCAGCCCACCGCCAGGAGGACCTCGCGACGGCCCAAGCCGCCGAGTCCGCGGAGGCGCGGCAGTTCCAGGCGCTCCACGCGGCGCGCCTCGAGGCGCCAGCGAGTCGAACCCGGCAGACGACCCGACGACCGTTGGGCAGAAAGTGTAAAGTTGTAGACATGAATCGCCCGATTGGGTGAACTGTTAGCGCCATAAGCTCGTGTCCGAGAACGTACGGCGGACTTCGCGGTTTGTCCCAGCCCCTAATGCAAACCCCGGCAATACACCCCTGGTTGATTTTGATTGGAGGGAACACTTCCTCATAATGGGACGGGCTTATTTCAGACCCGATTTAACAGCCAGGTGTTTGAGACCGGGTCCCAAACACCTGCGGGTGTCTAATGGAGGGGTCGGGTCTTCCATTGAAAGCCCCAGGAGCCTCGGGTGTGAGCGATTCCATGTGCTTCATCAAGCGGTTTTCTCCGATTTTCCCCTGTTGTCTAGGTTCCCCAGTAATTAGTGCCCTTGTACCGCTTCTTTTTTGGGGGAGGGTTCCCCTACTAAATAGACTACAGAAAAAAGGGTACTCTTGTTAATTCTAACCTCTGTACTGGAGGACCTAGTCTTCCCATGTGCTTCGTGAAGTGTTTTTTCCCAGATTTTCCTCCTGGGTTGTTTCTTTTCTTCGGGGAGTCTATCACTGGTGTTGTTTTTTTTTGGTGTGGAGAATGAAAGACATGGGTATGTGTGTGTGTGTCTTTGGTTTTGAGGCTCGGTACGCTTTCCAGGTTGGTTTAATTTGGTTTATATAAGGGGGAACCGATGGGAAAACAGAAGCTGGGTTTGGATCCCCCTATGTGGACAGGTACCCAAATGGGCGCCTCAACATGAAGCGCCCAAGATAAGCCGTTTGTCTTTCTGTTTCTACAAGCTCGGGAAAACATGAGCGTGACCCTTCTCTTGAGGTACAGACAAATGGATGCGTTTTGCTTTGGGTTTCTGCCTGACACCAACACATGGCCATTAACTCCAAGAAAAGTGATGTATCGTTGGTTTTGTTCTTTGCATTTTGCATTGTACGTAGACCAACCCAATAGACAGTGATTTCTTCTTCTCTTGCATCACTTGGACTTGTCTCATGGGATATGGACCCCCCTAAAGGAGTGGTGAAGCGTGTTCCTTTAGAACAATCTAGCCAGGGGTGCCACTCTTGCAAAAAGACACGTATATGCCTGTGAGGCGTTTGGTATCAAACAGCAATGGATTTTTGAATCATGGGATTCCACTAGCCTGGATTGGCTTTGTCATTTTGCCGCAGATCAGGTGTTGACTTGTAACACTTTGGGCGCCATGGGGCCTTGCGTTTTTTTGTTTTTTCTCGTACAGACTATCTGCTGGAAGAGTGTTTCCCAGTTGGTGACGGCTCCAGCATGTCAGGGCCTTTTCCATTGAATGCAAGAGGGTGTCGCGATGTACGCCAAGTCAACCGAGAGTTGCCTCTCGCGCTCAACTTCTGGGATCCTTGTCAAGAGCACCTACACTTTCCTTTTGGTAATTAAACGCCCAGAGAATAAAGGCACAGGTCATTGCGAGCAGCTCTATTCCAGGTCATGAATGTGTGGTCCAGTTTCATCCCATTCTTTCTCCGGTGGGTTTGAAGATGAGCCTTTTTCCTTCCCCAGAATTAGCTCCGTCTTTTTTTTCTGCTTTTTGGGGTCCCTTTGTTTTCCACTAACCAGGCAAAAATGATGTATTTGTTGCTGGGGTGCTAATTCCAGCCTAGTTTCATGACCAATTCTGAGTTGAACCATCTGCTAGTCTCCGCAGGAGACTCAGGAGGCGCGGTCCATGCGGGACATCAAGAACGCAGAGGCAGCACAAGCGGGCGAGGCCAGCGGTGGACGGATTCGGTGTCACGGATGGGGGACGGATTTGTGCCTAGGTCCCCCAGTGGTGCCTTTTTACCGTTTCTTTTTTGGGGGAGGGTTCCCCTACTAAAATTTACTACAGAAAGAGGGTACCCTTGTTCTAACCTCTCTACTGGAGGACCTAGGTGCCCAGTCCAATCAGCCGGGGGTGCTCCTGGTGCTAGAGGTACCCCCCCCACCAATGAACCTGACAGGGTCCTTTTAAAGGGAAGGTAACGTTACTTGGTGGGAGGAACACGGAGGTCCTGGAAGATCTCGTTCCTAAAGGGAATTTCGGTGTCGGTTCCGTTTTTATTGGTGGGAGGGTAAACCGCCTTTGGCGACTTGGCGGCCCTTTCTTTCTGCCCTGAGCATGGAGTCGACTGGGAGCAACCCAGCCCGAATTACGTGAGGGGATTCGCACCTATTTGCGTTGTGAACGGGCTCTTAACCGCTTTACGCTGGGCTGTTCAAATGTAATCCGTAATCCTTACTTTGGGTTACGCAAAGGGTCCCCTTTGTTGCGGCTTCCCTATAGGGATTGTGGAAAAACGGATTGGCCAACCCTCCATTTTGAACTGCCCAGTTCAGGACATTGGGATTTGGTTTATACGCCACCAAGCAAAGGCGGCCTGAGGCTCTGAGGCGTCTGCTTTGTCGGAGCGTCTCTTCGATTTTCTATACTGCATCCCGGCTACGCAACAAGGGGAAATAATTTTCTGGTCTCTATCCCCCACCCACCCCCACCCACCCACCCACCCACCCACCCACCCACCCACCCACCCACCCACCCACCCACCCACCCACCCACCCACCCACCCACCCACCCACCCACCCACCCACCCACCCACCCACCCACCCACCCACCCACCCACCCACCCACCCACCCACCCACCCACCCACCCACCCACCCCACCCACCCACACCCACCCACCCACCCACCCCCACACCCACACCCCACCCCACACCCACACCCACCCACCCACACCCACCCCACCCCACCCACCCCACCCACCCACCCCACCCACCCACCCCACCCACCCACCCACCCACCCCCAACCCACCCACCCCCACCCACCCACCCACCCCACCCACCCACCCCACCCACCCCCAAACCCCACCCAGCCCCCAAACCCACCCACCCACCCACCCACCCCACCCACCCACCCACCCACCCACCCACACCCACCCACCCACCCACCCCACCCACCCACCCACACCCACCCCCACCCACCCACCCACCCACCACCACCCACCCACCCACCCACCCACCCACCCACCCACCCACCCACCCACCCACCCACCCACCCACCCACCCACCCACCCACCCACCCACCCACCCACCCTTAATTGCCCTTGAATTCATCTGGAGCGATTGGGCCTAGGGCCTGGCAACCCTGAGGCTTCCGAAGGATGCAGATGCCACCCGCTTTCATCGTCTCTGTTTCTTGGCGATGGACTGGACATCCGCAAGGAAGATAGCCGCTGTTCTATGTTCGCAAAATGATATGAGCGACTCGCAGCACTACCGTTGGCCTGCTCGTCGCGTGCGATACCAACAGACCCATCACAGCTTGGGGCAAAGCCCTAACTCCACATTTAAGGGACAGTCTCGATATATCGTAGTTCAGCGTCACTTTGATTACCCGTGTTGCGTTTTCGCTCCACGGTGAACATCAACAAGCCTATGGCAGTTTTATTTCTTCTTGAGTTTGCACTGTCATTTAGGAATGTGTCATCGCCAGCTGGTCTTCGTACTGAACCCGCCTTAATAGACCCAAAGTCGTTTGGGGTCAACCAGCGCCTCGCGCGAGTTTTGTCCAACAGTATCGCTGATATCGCCTTACCTCCAGGAACTTGTGATATATAGGAGGGGCCCATATTTTCCAAGAATCGTTGTTTTATTCAGAAATTATCTTGTTGTGGTTGCGTGGGTGGTGGCTTTTCACATCCACAGAATCACCAGCAAGGCCCTCGGGTGTTGTTTGCTTTTGCGGCTTCTTTCCCAGCGGAACAGAAAAGATTGACATGTGTGTTGCTTCCTTTTGAGACTCGTGAATCGTGATTCCCCAGACCTCAACATATTCTTCCATTTGCTTAAGAATAGTTTCCCTAGTTTCCCTTGTTGGTTTTATATGGACTTTATCACTACTGGACATATTTATACCTTCTTTTTCCAGGGGTCTTAACCAAATGGAAGTATTTGGGGGTTCAAGAATGCGGGTGTTTGTTTTGCTTTACCATGAGTAGGGAACCCAAACCGTCTTGAACGTAGTCCTCGCAGGCCCTGGTTTTGGCCAAAGCGGAGAAGAAGCAGCTGATAGAGGCACTGGGGGTTGAATCCACATGTGGGTGTGGCTCAAAATCAAACAGGAGGCGTTACGCAGGTTTTGGTCCATGTTCCACTTGCCAGGGTTCCATTTTGGTACCGTTTTTTTTAGCCACAGCCATGTAACGACCCCTGCACTTGAGGCGGGGGATGAAAATTGCCTCACGGAGACACGGATTCTTATCAAGGAACCACAGCAACTTGCATCCATCCGATCCAGTGCTTTTGGACACTTCCTGTGTTCACATTCTGAATTCGGAGAATTGTTGAGTCGTCTTCCAGTTTGGGGCCAAGAGCTTTTTTTCGGCAGAACCCGGCGTAAGGCTATTGCTGGCCGTCGTGTCAGGTGCTGCGTGGAAGCCGCCAAGCCTTGGCGTCCTTGGAGCAGACCTGCGCGGACCGCGTGGGCCATGGGTCGTGTTGACTATTGGGCAACGGATCTTTAGACTTTAGCTTTTTGGTTCAAATCAACCGGGGTCCCTATATATATATATATCCCTTTTTGCTGGTTTTTGACATCACCTTTTTGGCCCATGAAAGGTGAGTGCCCCTTTGGGGTGATGTGTTAAGGGGAAATATAGGGAGCCCTGATCAAGTTGGGTTTTCCGCCCAACCCCCCCCAAAAAAGTGATCAACTTTTTGCAGGGGGGTCGTTGCAGCAACCAGGTTGAAAGAACTCTTTTGGTGATTTGCCACGTGGGTGTTCGGCCGAGTTAAGTGGTTAGCCTGGGTTGAACCTACTTGCAGCCGGTCCAACCCACTCATGAGATTGTACCCCGGGCTGACCGCTTGCAACCTGGCCGAACATCGAAGTAGGGAAAGCGCAAGAACATGCCAAGCCTCTGGGGAGGTTCCCACATTACGAGATCATTTTGGCAAAATAAAAATGATGAAACAAAACCATGGCCGGATTGGGATTTCCTGTGAATTGGCCTTCGGCAAGGAGGTCCAGTTTTTGCGGATCCCTTGAAGGGAGCTGCCCCAGCTGCTGGTTTTGCGGAAGCCTTTCCAAGGCCCGATTTGGAGGGATCCGACACAAACCCCCGTGAGTTGCCATTAGCCAGGAAATGTCAGGAATTTCTGCAGGAAATTTGAGCACCTTGCAAAAACTCAGGTGATGCATGTTGAATGTTCTGCGCCTAGAAGCCCCACAGCGACCCTCAACAAGAGGGTCTTGCACCTCAAAGGCCTCAAATGAGGTCCATGGGGCTTCTAGGGAACTTGATTTCCAGTTGAACCCCCCCTGTTGTACCCAACACAAATGAGGATTGGGTGCTTTGGGCTCGTGGGGTAACTTAAATTAATTTCCAGTGGAACTTTCCCGCTGAAACCCAGAGGTCTTAGGGGACGCTCTTACGCCAGGAGGGCGCGCGCAACTTCGAGGACCGGAAGTCGGCGCGCTGGGCGGAGCAGGAGGCGGTGACCGATGCCATTGAGGCGGAGATTTCTGATTTGTTTCTTCCGATTTGTCCCCCAGCAATTTGTGCCCTTGGAGCCGTTTTTTTTGGTTGGGAGGGTTCGGGACCCTACTCAAAGAGACTGCAGAAAAAAGTTGGTAGCGTTATTCTAACCTCTCTACTGGAGGACCTAGCTTCTATCTTCCACCCAGACGCTCCCGATTGATTGTGGGCCCTCAAACAGCCAGGTTTTGAGACCCCAAAACCCTTCTGGGGTTTGTCTTCCATTTGCTGAAATGAAAGCCCTCCCTCCCACCAACATGGCACCTGCGGATACCTGGAAGATTGGTTTCCACTTCAATTGACCTAATGTCAGGTGCTATGTTAGCGGGATGGAGGGTATTTCGTATTTTCCCCTGTTGGTTTTAAAGGGAATCGATGTTATTTGATTTGTCCCTGTTGGTTTTAAAGGGAATCGATGTTATCTAGTTTTCCCCTGTTGGTTTTAAAGGGAATCGATGTGATTTCATTTTTCCCTGTTGGTTTTAATAAACAAATCGATGTTGTTTCATTTTCCCCTGTTGGAGTTTTAAAGGGAATCGATGTTATTTCATTTTCGCCTGTTGGTTTTAAAGGGAATCGATGTGATTTCATTTTCCCCTGTTGGTTTTAAAGGGAATTGACGTTATTTCATTTTCCCCTATTGGTTTTAATAAAAGATTCGATGTTGTTTCATTTCCCCTGTTGCTTTTAATAAACGAATCGATGTTATTTCATTGTCCCCTTTTGGTTTTAATAAACAAATCGATGTTGTTTCATTTTCCCCTGTTGGTTTTAAAGGGAATCGATGTTATTTAATTTTCCCCTGTTGGTTTTAAAGGGAATCGATGTGATTTCATTTTCCCCTGTTGGCTTTAAAGGGAATCGATGTTATTTCATTTTCCCCTGTTGGCTTTAAAGGGAATCGATGTTATTTCATTTTCCCCTGTTGGTTTTAAAGGGAATCGATGTTATTACATTTTTCTTGTTGGTTTTAAAGGGAATCGATGTTATTTAGTTTTCCCCTGTTGGTTTTAAAGGGAATCGATGTTATTTCATTTTCCCCTGTTGGTTTTAAAGGGAATCGAGAAGAACTACGGGAAAAAACATGTTTCCAGTGGACTTGTAGTTTTTTCGGAGGGTGCTTTCGGGTTGGCAAGGCAGGCAGAACAGGAAACGTACGGCCTTTTCTTTTTTCGCGTGTTCCCGAATTTGAGACCAACGCGTATTTCCCGGGTGTTTTTTAGACAACACGTTTGCAGGGGCATATTGCTGGTAGAGACCGAACAGAACAAGCACACACTATCACAATATGCAAATGCAGCATTCAGCGCCTTTTTGGAACAACGGCATGTTGACATGGCACGACTCTGAGCAAAAAAGGCAACAACGCAGAATTTCCCACCCACAGAAGTGAACAAAACGTGATCAAAGCAACCAGAGATATGGGTGCCACTTGGGGAGGTGAACCGGAAGGGCTGATCCTGTCAGACGACGTAATCCAGGTTCCCCAGTGCCCTTTTACCGTTTCTTTTTTTGGGGAAGGGTTCCTCTACTGAAATAGACTACAGAAAAAAGTTGGCACCCTTCTTGTAACCTCTGTCTGGAGGACCTAGTAATATAAATTACATGTGGGGGTTGATGAAAAAACTCCGTAGAAAGGCCCCCAGGTTTGACCACGGGCAACTTTTCCCATGGGAAAGATCATTGCCCTTTTTGGTTGGTTTCCAAGCAATGGTCATCCCGTGTTTATTGGCCCTCACCGCCCTGTAGTTTTTTTTTTTTTTTTTTTTTTTTTTTCTGAGGGCCTGATGAAGGCCCAAGAAGTGGTAGGCAAACCCCAGTCCGTTGGAGTACTCTGGCCTCGGGCACAGGACGATAGACCTGGCCTCTTGAGCCAGTAGCCCATGCCATACTCATGCGCCAGGAAAGTATTCAGGAAGCCGGCAAAGGGCCACCAAACGGCCAAACACCCGCAAAAAGGCTGCATGTTTTTTTGGGATTTATTTTTCTGTGAGATGGCTTAGTCGATTGCTTCAACTTGCCGAGTCTAGGTGCTCGAGAACCCCGAGGTGAGCTTTCTGCAGCATCTTGGCGGTTGTTTTCGGCGGTGGGCCTGCACCTGCGAACGCAGTTCGCCAGTTGATGGACTGGATGTTTGAGTTGTGAAAAGCGGCCCCTTTGTCCTTGCTTCTGCGAGTTTTCCGCTAAGAATGCCGTGAACCCCAAAAAAGCATTTCTACTAGCTCGCAGTTGGGATGGGCTTATTGAAAACTATGTAAGGGAGAACCAACTGAGATTGACTTGCTTGCCCACAAAAGTGGGGCTAAGTCATCTATGTGTCTGTTTACATGGATGATGAAGTTCCCCAGTCCAAGAGTGCCTTTTTCATCCAACAATTTCCCACACCCTAGCCCAGACCTCGCTTTGTTTTGTACCGCCCGATGAGCTGACCAATGCAACTTGATGCCCGTTGAGCTGGATTCCAGAGACATGTTGACCCAGCATTTGTCAGTCAGCCGATTCTTCCCCGACTGTTGGTTGCTTTGTTCTGCTTCTTGATGCGGAGATCGGAAAGTGTATGATGGCTCACGGAGCATGGGCTACACAATGTCGCCTATTTGCAAGCTCACAGCCGGCGGGAATGACTCGTGGAGTATGTAGAAGTGTTTGTATATACTCACGTTAGATACCTTTGTGGTAATTGAACCCCAAATAGGCGTGATGTTTTTCATACCCCTCTCCCTCACAGGTGTAGTGAACACAAGTGGTTGGCCACCAGAAAACCAAGGTGTATCAGAGACTAGCGCAGTGTGATCTTAGTTGGGTCGTGGCATCGAAGGTGGCACTGAAGAACGTCTGAGTCAAGTCACGATACCAGCATGTTATTAGTATGACTTGACTTGCATAATATATAGTTTACGAGTCATAATAGTTACTTGGCAAGTCTATTATAAAATCATTATTTGACTTGATTAAAACACACACAAAAACTGTCTTATGTCGTTGTCCGGCCCTTCGAAGAGGAGCCAAGCCTGGCTTGGAGTGCCTAAGCTCGAGTCGCCGGAAATCGCGGGCCAGATGCAGGTTGCAGGTTCGGAGTATCATTGGCTGCAGAATCTTCAGAGACTCACTTGCCGAGTGAGTCTTTCAAGTTACATAGACACAGGCAAGGCTCAGATGAAAGAAAAGGGTTATGCTCCATGATCCTGCGTGTGCCTTGGGCATGCCTGGGGCTGTTCTGTCTCTTGCCTTGGTTTGGTACCCCAGCGCTAATGTTCCAGCGTTCCCCCTGGGAACATAAGTTTGTGCTCTGTCAGTTTGTGTTTCCCCTGTGTTCTCCTTTTACAGCCCCCACACGGGTCTATGTATTTGTTGAGGGTACCTTCAAAGGTTGTTTCAAAGAGAGATCAAAGGACATACCACCATTTAGGGGGTCCCGATTTTGACGCATACCCGTTCAGGTCTCCAATTGGAGGGAAGCTGACCACTCGTTTAGCTTTAGGAGCCCAAGACCTGATCATTTGAGGTCTTCGGGAATTCAATCAGGTTTTGGCCACCGGAACCAGCCGATCGGATGCCGTCAGAAAAACAAAAAGCGGTAAGGCTGACCTCGCGCTCTGGCCATGCGGAGCGTGAGGCGCCTAAGATCAGCCGATTGGGTGAATGGGGCCCAGAGGGGCGGGGTCACTTCAGGGAGCCATCCCAAATGAGCTCAGAAGTGTTTAATGCATTTTGCCAAGGGATGTTAGGACTTTAACTTTTTGCCAACTAATGGGTTTTCCACTGAACCACTAAAAGTTAAATTTAACAGGGGAGCAGAAAGCAACCGAGAACTGTTTGATGTCCACCCAAGATTCCCTATTTTAAGTTATGCCCAGATGTCTTTTTTTGCGGATTGACATTTGAAACAGGTCCCAAGGTGAGTGCCGAAGAAGAAACGCAGCTTGAGCATTCAATTGGAGTCAGGATTTCCATTGTGAGCATGACCTTCACAAAGCCCCATTTTGAGGTACCAATATGTTTTTCTTGCTGGTGCGATCGGCAGGGAATGAATTGGAATGACCCCTACCAACCATCCCCTATTGCTTTAAGGGGATCTCCAGGTTCATTCCCTCATTCCCTGCTGAGCACCAGCAAGTTTTTCAAAGGGGGGGGAGTCGGTGGGTGCTTGGTTGTCTTTGGTACCCCTTTTCTCCAGAGACTACATTTGTACCCTTGCACCCGTCTTCAAGAATTGGAGAATGGCCTGCAGGTGAGAAAGCCTAAAGGCACCACAGGGTTTGTCTCCAATTGGTGGTATGTCTGTATTGGGGGACCACCAAAATGGTGGGTGTCCCCTTGGTTTCCTTTTATTACCACTACAAAGAGTACCCTCAAAAAGACACCAATAAAAAAGAACACAACATGGTTTGCCTCTTTCATTGTACCCTTGCAATCCACGAAGCAATGTCCATTGCCTGAGGCAGGATTGTATTGGGTCCAGCTGTCCAGCACCCAAGTTTCCCACGAAAACAAGGGGGCCCAGCAATTGTTCCCAATGTGCGTAGTTCTGTCCGTGTTCTCTGGGTGCTTCTCAAAATGGATCTGGGCTGGCTTCCTTTTGGGTTCCATGTTAAGTCATGCCAACAAGTCTCTTTTTCCTCCACAAAGCTTCGGCGTTGTCTCTGCCACAGAGTGGTTCACATCCATTCTGGGGGTTGTTTTTTGGGGCTACCACCTGGCCTGGTTGATTTTGAGGCAGAGTAGGATTGCCTTCAACTTAGGAAGCCTCCAAAGTTGTGCGGTTCTCCGTTTTTTCCCCTTAAAACCCAGCCCCAGCATTTTCTCAAAAGTACGCCACACCTTTTTGTTTGGGGTGCTTTCCATTTCTCCCCTCCAAAGCCAGCCCTAGCTTCCTCCCCTCCCGGCGATCGGTTTCCGCCTCAGGCGGCGCCTTCCGCGCCCGCTTGGGCGGAGGTGCGGTGGGCGGTGGAGTCCATGGTCAGCGAGCTGCAGCAGCAGCAGCGGGCCGAGCGGCGGAAGAAGGACTGGTGCGCCCAGGACCGAGCCGGGAGCGAGAGCCTACGAGCGCCTACGAGCGCCTGGGGAGAGCCCCGGCTAGGTGCCCTTGGAGCCGTTTCTTTGGGGCAGGGTTCATCTAGTAAAATAGACTGCAGAAAAAAGTTGGTACCAACTTATTCTAACGTCTCTACTGGAGGACCTAGAAAGCGTGGAGGAGGTCGGGGGGAATTGGCCGCCGGGTTTGGGACCCTCTAGAAAAAAGGGGAGACGAAACGAGGAGAAGGTCGGGGGAACAAATCCGGACGGATTTGGGGGGGCGTGGTAAAGGGGAAAAATGGGAGCGACACAGGGAAACTGGCCAATTTGGAAGCTTCCAGCGCGTGGCCATTGCGTGGTGACAATAGCCCTTCACTTGAGCTTGGAAACGGTCGACGTCTAAGTGAGGAATGTAAGGGTTCTTACCAAAGGAAGGACTCCTTATGGGACCCAGTTTCCAGCATGTGAAACAGTTCATGCCGATCTGTGTTAAACTTGGAGTGCCACGACGTGTGGTAAGCAGGCTGTGATTTGCGGGACAATCAATTGGGGGCCATCAGGTGAGAGATGCAAGCTTGGTCAACGCAACGGTATCTTGCATTTGCAGCAGGATGAGCACAGCTTTGCGCATGTCAAGGCCGCTCCGAGCATCCACTCTTCCCCGAGGTCTTCCCGAACACCCTTTCTTCCCCCGAAAAAAACCAAAAAGAGAGATGTCAACAAAAACCGACGCGCAACACAAATCATGCCAAAATGCAAGAAACAACGCTGCAGGATAATCAAATGACCGCCAAATTCTGCCAATTTCCCGCAAACTCCTCCGATTCCCTGCCGAGTTCCGCCGATTTCCCATCACTTCGGGGAAGGAAGCGCGCTACATCAAACACGCCGACAAGTGACAAAAACGCCGAAATGCAAAACAACAACGCCTAAGCTGAGGTGATATCCCAAACAGCATGCGGTGCTCTTTGTTGTGGCCCGGGAAGCAAACCACCGATCCAAGTCACCAATCATAGCGCGCCGCCGGTTTTGCCTAGGATGCCACTTTACCTATACAAAGGTACAGCCGACGGCGCAACCGATCATAGCGTACCACTGGTTTTGCTTTGTCGCTTCAGCTGTTAAGGTACAGCCGACGGTGCCTGACCGGGGCCCGACGGTGCCAGCCCCCGATCAGGGCGCGACGGCGCAATCGCCCCAGTCGGGGCCCGACGGTGCAATCGGTGTTCGGGGAGCAAACCACGAATCCAAGTAGCGCGCTGCCGGTTTTGCTTTGTCGCTTTAGCTGCTACGGTGCAGCCGGCGGGGCTCGACCAAGGCCCGACGGTGACAGCGGGCCCCGATCGTGGCACGACAAAGACCGGGAAGCCCCAACCAATCCACCGCCTTCGGCTGTAAAACAGCGGCCGTGTGGAACGGAAGCTTGTGGAACGCTGTGAAACCGTGGAACCTTGCCTCAGGGCCACCCCGGACCACCCCATAGCCCTCGCAGTTCCCTCCCTTGGCTCGAGGTCAAGTGAGCACAGGGACGACGACGCCAGTGTTCGTGCAGCAAACCACATTATATAGATGTGAGCGCGCAGCATTTTGACTCTTGTCCAGAGATTGGGCGGGCAAGCGCAAGAGTGACTCGACACTTGTTGGTTTTTGGTCGGTGGTTGGACTGCCAGCCAGGCTTGAGCAGCTTCCAGTGTGGCTTGCACGCAGGCTTTGCTTTCTGATTTAGCCTGGAAGATGGAGGCGGATTGTCCCGCGTGCTCAACTGGTAGCGAGGAATAAGCTCCCGCTGTAGACTTGCTGGTAAATGCTGCTTTGTGACCTGGACCTAGCCCCATACATTTCTCAGGGCCTGATCAGGCTGCGTCGCCCGTCGCCCAGCCAGCTGCTCACTTCATGAGTTCCTGGACTTCAAGTTTTGGGGAATATCATTTTACCTGGTTGCCGAAAAGTTTGGACCTTTTTTGGGCAAATCTACGCAGCAAGTGAGGCTGTGTGGTGACGCAAGGAGCCGCGTTCTATGTCTGGATGCGCCCCGTATAATTTTGTCACCCGCCTTCCTGTGGAGGAGCAAAGAATCCGTCGGTGGATGCTTAGGTAAGGCTCACGTCAGGCAACGCGACAGCTACCGTGCCTGACGATGCTTGCGAGAACGGAGTAAAGGAGTTTTGACCGAGAAAAAAATATAGTTCGGAAAACCGTTTGGCGGTGGGTGTCTCCTGATTGTGGGCCACGGCCGTGTTTCTCTTCCAGTCGATGGTATGTCAAAAAAAACCTGCCCAAGCTATAAACTCAGTCGGATGGGATCCACCTGCCAGCCCGGGAATGTGTGAGGGTACACTTTGTAGCTGGTTTCAACATCAGAGTACCTCGTTTGGCTTGCGTTACTGGCCAGCCCAAGCAATTACTTTTGCGGGGGTGGCGTTGATCATTGTTTGTTTAAAAGGAAAACCTTGGCAAGCAGAATAGCTGCGCAGGAGTTCTCCGAGAACCAGCGAGACACCACCCAAGCGAGGGACCGGAGGTCTTTTTTGAAGGCCAAGGCGGCGGAGATGGACACCGAGATGCAGAGCCGCTGGGCTGCTTTGGGGTTTGTGTCGGGCTAGGGTTCTCCGAGGGGTGGGATGATTTTTGTTCAGCGCAATAACGCAGTGCCACGTCAGAGCTTTGTTTCAACCTTTCCTCTTGAATGCAGACGGGAAAGGCCACCCGTTGGTCAAATCACCAAGCCAAACCAGCAAGTAAAGGGTAGCTTGTGTGTGTGTGAGGTTTGCGCACTATGTGGAGCCCTGCTTTGAAGCTGACATTGCCCACCCTGCACGAACCAATGTTGTCTTACTTTGTCCCACCCTGGGCACCGCTGTCCTGCGATTTTTGCTTTGTTTCCACGGCTAGTGCTTTTTGAGTCTTTTGCAAGGGAGCCACAGGGGAAAAGCTCAGTCAGAACCGATGTTAGGCTGTACGGGTTTCGGTTTCTCTGCTCCTCGGCCAGGAGGCCTGCCCCGCCCCGCTCTGCCCGGACCACTGGGATGTTCAACCCACGTCAGGTAAGTGTGTTGTAGCCACGGGAAGATGCCCACCCACCTTGTCCCATCTTCAGCCATGGCTATTTCCGACCTGTGTACCCGCAACATATGTATCCCTGTTTAACACGTCTGCGTTGCGGATTCGCGGTTCCAACAATAACTCAAACACCGCCATCAACGACAACCACAACCACAGCCACAGCCACAGCCACAACCACAACCACACCACCACCGCCACCGCCGCCACCGCCACCACCAAGAACAGTACTAACATCAACAAGCACAACAATAGCAGCAGCAACAACAACAATCATAAGGACAAGAAACTGTAAGAACAATACCAACAACCAGAACAATACGGACAGTAAGAACAAGAGCAACAAGAATCACGATAAGGACAACCATAAGAACAATAACAACAAATACAATCAAGACACACAATAGCAACAGTAACAGCAGCACCAACAGCAACTTCAACAGAACCAGCACTAGCAGCACTACCGCCAACAGTTGACCCACCCACGAAAGTTGCCAGACTGGGGTAAAGGGTATTAGGTACTAGTATCACCTTGGCGAGCCTGATGTCTGAAAATAACGAGCATATGGTAGACTAGATATGGAACAGAATCAGAACATATCCATCCTCGCTGTTCATTGTATTCTGCTGTTTTTTTAAGCGTTTCAAGTGGCAGCTTGTTTTATTCTTTTGGCATGTTAGGATGATTGTTTGTTTCTTGTTGTTCGCACCCCAGGTCTGGCCAAGGACGTGGCGCAGAGCACGCAGCAGGTGCAGCGATTGGAACGGGAGCTCCAGGTGGCAGGCGAGGGTCGATGGCCATCCGGATTCCACACACATGTCTAGGTTTTGCAGTAGTGCCCTTTACCGTTTCTTTTTTTGCGGGGAGGGTTCCTTCTACTAAAATAGACTACAGAAAAAAAAGGGGTACCCTTATTAGCATTCTAGGGGACACTTCCATTTCCATTCTTTCAAAAAATCCGAATCTTTCTAGAAAACCAACAAAAACCCGGAAATGGATCTGGTTTGTGAAAAGAACGATGGCTGAAAAGAATGGTTGGAATCAAGCCCTAGAATGGTGTCCTCCTTGGGCTTCTCTTTGACCCCAATAAGAGCACCCTTGAAAACAACACACGCACACCCATGCAACCATGGGCGTGTTTGCTTGCGCGCTTGCTGGCGGAGGGATATTTTGCAGAATGCGACTTCAATGGACCCGGACCGCACCCTCGCGCCTGAAAAGCGAAGACAGCAGGTGTGCTAACTCATAAATGTTTCCTCGCCCAACGCCCATCCAACGCACTCAATGGCCGAGCGTGGCGCGGCCATTTTCACACGTGAGCATGCTATGCAAATCCTGAGCTTGCAAGTGGTGTGACCTGAAACGAGGGCCCAATGGTTTTTTGGGTTGCCCCTTTCGACTCAAGCCAAGATCATCAGTGCACCTTCCTCTCTGGCGCGGAGAGGAGCATTGGGGCGAGGTCATTTCGGGTGTGTCGAACGACTACTCTACGTTGTTCCTTGAACGTCAAGCATGCGGTTACCAGGAATATGCTGCTGTTCAACAGCTGGATATTGCTTAATGTTTGCCCGTGTGTTGCAGATGGGAGTGACACGCCTCTTTCATCGTGGTGGATCTACCCAAACCTCCAGAGTTGAGTGTGTGTGTGTGTGGGTAGGTTGGGTTTTCCTGAACATCAACCATCCAATCGTCATTGCCTCCTTTTTCTTTCGCCACTGGATGTGGCTCATTCACGCATTTCATGCCCAAGCCAACACACGATGAACGGGAGTTTGTTTGTGTACCAGGTTATAAGATATGCATACTAACAATTGGGCTCTAGCAAGTAAGCTTACTAGTCAGCACATCACCCAGAAGACGAGAATCGCTGCATCCTTTTCAGGGTTTTTGTGTGGACATCCTTCTTTCATCGAGCTTCCGGTGAGGTGCTGTAATAGGGGGAGATGTATGCTGCAACCTCGAGCTCTCGGTGCAGGCTTGGATCGCAAAGAGGAGCAGCAGGCCTTTCGACGCACCTACTGGGACCAGCTGATGACGATCCGCGCGTCACAGCTGCAGTGAGCTTGCTGTCAGGCAGCTCCAGGTGACAGCGACAGCTGGCTGCGATCCCCGACTATAGGATATGAGTTGCGACATACATACTGACACTGATACCATACTGACACTGCGTTTCTATGACAATGATCATGACGTGATTTTGTTTCAAAGCACATGCTAATTAACTAGTTAGGCCCCGATGATCAGCTATGGATCGGGGGGGCACCAACAGGTACCATGATTGGAAGAAGGGATTTGGGAAGGTGAGGATTCCTTGGCATGAGACATACAGCTATTGGCCGCAACAGGGTGCGTCATTCTTAATAGATATATATATATATATAAATATATATCTATGCTACCCCCCCCCATGGACCCTGGTTTTACTGCTTTTTGGGGATGGCAAATCTAGAATCTCAAAATGTATATTCTCGAAATGTCCAATTGTGGGTCCCCGAAGCCTGATTTGGAGCCCGGAGTTCTCCACAATGTCCCAATATGATACGCTTTCCAAATCCTTTCCAAATAGGAGCTACACGATTTGTGAATATAGTTTCGGGTAAACTCCAACTAATCTTTAACAAAAGAAATTAGATAGGAGTTTCTTCTCAAGTACGATCTAAGTGTTAAATATGAACTAATACGAACACAATTCAATTAGCTTTTGATAATAACAATTAAATAGAGACTACTTCTCAAGTATAATTCATATTAAATATGGCTAAACATTTAAGGGACTTCTACAAGGATTCGTTTTGTGTTAATTACATTCTGGCCCTTTTGTAGCATAGGAAAGGTCCGACATTGAACTTGTTAGACGGTCCAAAGGGACATTTCAAGGGAAGACAGGCTCAAATTCTAAGACTATCTCGAAACAGGGATTCTAGCTAAATCAGTTGTATTTAAAGTTCTATTTGCACAGGAAACAAAAAATCATTTTATCTCGAAAGGTGGAGGTAGTAGATGAGCAAATGGACAGGTAGTTGAAGAGGGGGTGGTGACGGTGTGTGAATGTACATACACATGTACATTTACATATATGCACATACATACACATACATATTGTACCCCTAATGATCCTGGGCCCCTTTATAAAATTCTGGACAATACAGTGTTTTTGAGAATTACACCTACCTTTATTTACCTCCTGGAAAAGGGTCAACATGAGCATAGCTGACATGAAGCTCACCAAAGCACTTGAAAGTTTGTCTAACCAATAACTTGAAGGAATTTTCCACTGGATCGCTAAGCACTTGAAAGTATTCTACTGCTGGATGGAAGATTCAAGATGGACGATTACACAGAAAACTTTCCTGAGAATTGTCAATCCTGGACAAACCAAAACGACATTCAAGTTCTTCTAACGCTTGAAAGTGCTTCACCACAGGATTGAGGATTCAATATTGAGGAGTGCAGAAACAACAACTTTCCCGAGAACCATCCATCCTGGTCAATCCCTGAAAATGTTCAAGTTGTTCTAACACCTCGAACGTATTTTACCACTGGATTGAAGATTCGAGATTGAAATATTTCACGGAAAACTCTTCTGAGAATCGTTTTGAATACCAAGAGTATTGAAACGATTCTGGAAATTGTTTAGACCAAATGCTGGATTCAAGATTCAAGATTCCCAGAACATATTATCTTAGATTCTGGAATCTTGAATCCTGAATCCATATTTGTTTTATTATTTTTTAGAAATTCTGGGATTCCAGATTCAAGATTCACGATTTCCAGAACATATTTTCTCAGATTCTCGAATCTTGAATCCAGATTTTGTTTTAAGATGTCTGAGTTGTTCTTGTACTCTTGGATGCATTCAATCTCTTTTAGATTGCAGATGCTGATGTCATTGCTTTTATCACATCTGTTTGCATGCATGCATATCGTATATGAATATGGCACCCTCTAATTTTGACGACACAAATCCAAGAAGCAAAACAAACGTAAAACACTGGAAAGTGCAGGTCAAACACACCAAACAAGGGTCCATGGGGGGGGTACCATATATATATATATATCGGGTATAGCAAGGATACACAATGTATGTATATATATATATATGTACATGATACATATGTACATATGTGAAGGATATCAGGGCGCCTACTCAAGAGTGGGTTCCCTTCCCTGCAAGCCCCGCCAGAGCGGACTCAAGCTGTAGCTGCTCGGTGGCACCCTTGTCTATTCGAGGTTGCCTAGGAAGAAGCGTTCAAGAACGCGGCGGGTCAGGGAGACAGATGAGCTACAATCAAAACCCGGGTAGATGAAGGTTAGTGAGGGACAATCCCAACCACAAATAGCTGCGGCCGCCTTCTTAATTCTTTGCATGGGTAGACCATTTAATAAGGGGTTTTGATTATGACTCACATTAGGACCCTGCCCAAGGTTCTCAGAGCCCTTCCAAGGAACCCGAAGAAGCTCTCCCAGTATCCTGGGTCAGGGGCCTTAGGCTTTCCCCCTGTGGAACCAAGAGCCTAGGGACATGTGCACAATGGCCATGTGCGGCTCCAGAAACCATGCCCAGAGATGCCTAGCAGAACTCTTTCGGCTATCTGCATACTTGTTCCTTCTAGAACACGGTTTGGACAATTACTATTTTTGTGGATTTAACCTTTGTTGCTTCTCTTTTAGTATTCAACACCATTGGATCAAAAAAAGCCACCACCTTTTCTTCTCCCTTGTAGGTTCCTTTTTGGTGCTCGTTTCATATGGGTATGGCTGAAAGGCAAAGAGCTACGGTTACAATTTACCTTTTGTGCCATTTTGGTACCACTTTTTTGAGCCAAGGCCATGTTGAAAACCGGTTGCTGGCGATCCCCAGATTCGCGCCCCATCCCAAAAACACAATCTGAGGCGCTGAAGCAAGCCAGCGCCAAGCTGTCGGAGGTCTACGGAGAAGCCACGGGCGCCTCGGAGAGTCGCTTGGCGTGGGCCAAAAGGCGGGTGGCGTGGGCCACCCGTTTTGACTTAGGTTGGCATTCGATGGTTCTGGGGTTCAACCCCCATTACAACAAACGATGACCCAATTTAGATGATTACAATCCTTAGGTAAATCTTCAGAGGTGCATTTTGGCAAGGGATGTTAGGACTTAAACTTTTTGCCAAATGGGTTTTCCGTCTTAAACCACCAAAAGTCAAACTTTTAGCAGGGGAGCGGAAAGCAACCGAGCTGACTCAGAAACCGAGTTCTTGGCCTTGAGTCGCTGTTGGGTTTGGAATGGTTTGGAGCATTTGTGTGGCAAACAAAAAGTTTGGTTATTTGTTTTGGCCGGTCCACTTAGGACGAGAGTTGAGGTTGGTTTCAACTTGAACCAATGTTGATGCATTTCAAAGTTCCCCCTATTTTGGCGCCTACCGATTTGAGAAGACACCATCAAAGTGTGGGTGGATGAAGGGTAGCAAAGGACTGTTTAAAGTGATTTGGTTTGGGCAAAACCTTTTGGTACCTGGGTATGATTGTGACTTATATGAGGGGCTAAATCGTTACTCATACTCCCGAATGATCATGACTCAATCTTGGTTTTAAGTACCCAGCCCCACGGTATTTACCTTGGCCTCTTGCGACTGTGGCCTGGTTTCCTTTCTGGGGGTAGAAGTTGTGGGGGTTAGCCGTGTAGGGCTGTTCCCTCATTCGTTGCAGCCCTTTTTGTTGCTGTGCTTGCGGCAACTTGTTCGATTTTTGGCCCTATGTTCCAAGTAGAGGCCGTTCACCGAAAGGCTCTGCCTTGTGCGAGTGACAAGCATGCTCGTTCTACTTTGACCATATTTCCTTAGGGGCAGCTTCTGCAACAAGCACGCATGTTTGCCCATGGCACGAGTTCAAGACCAAATCTCAGCAAGTGCGATTCGACTCCCGCACTCACTTTGGCACCGCTCTTCGCGCTCATGCGCAGTCCCATGGAATAGTTTCACAGAAGCCTAGATGGGGGTTGAGCAATATTCGCTTCCGCCCCCAAATGACCATGGGTAAGCTTTAGTGGCTTTCCAACCAATGGTCATCCCATGTGCGGACCTTTTGATCAAGCCCTAGGCCAAGTTATGACAGTCTCTTGTCCCAGGGTCAACAACTAGGCGTGAGGAGTGCCTCACTCAAGGGTTTTCCATGTCCGATTCAAAACCCACCTGAGACCAACAGCTTCAACTCGCTTTGCCACTTGTTGAAATTAGTGACGTTTCATGGCACGCAGGTGATTGGCGTCTGCTTTTTGCCGGCTGTTAGCGGCTTTACCAATTCCTTGGTTTGTTTATCAATGTCTTCCAAGGCACTAGTTGTTGTTCATTTTCAGCAGATGTATTTACATATATGTAATATGTACATGTGTACATTTGTGTGTAGGTATACGTATAGTGAAACACAAATCTAATCGTACTTACAAGCATTTCACAGACTTCTTCCATTTGCTTAAGAACATTTTGTGTATTTGTCCCTGGTGGTTTTAAAGTTGGAATCTATCACTACTGGACGTATTTCCTCATTTTCCCAGGTGTCTTAACCAAATGAAAGACTTCGCCCGGGCTGACTCGACACAGAAAGCGCATGGCTTCCTGCTCAGGCGTGCAGAAGAGCCCCATGGGCTCGAAAGTGCTGGGCTTGCTGGAGACGCTGATGGAGGAGCGGTCGTGGATTTTCGGGCAAGGTGGGATGCAACATGGCAACCCCAAGAAATCAAACGGGGCAAACCAATCAAAGCGGATACAGGTGTCCAACCTGACACTCATGAAGACGGTGCTGAAAGCGGATGGGGTTTGCCCTGCAAGAAAACCGGGGCACCAAGCGAAGCATCATAGCACAACCCCTTTGAGGGATCCCGTTTTCGAGCGCCGATTGCTTCGTTTTGGGCCCCGAAAGTCCGCGCTGGTGCGGGCGTCAGTGTCCATGATCCAAGTGCCACCTGCGGAGCAAGGAATGGGATTCCTGGCGGTTTTCGGGAGAAGGGTCCAGCATGAAAAAAAGGCCACCTTCACAGGGTCACTAGTTTAAGACGCAGCGAAACAGATGGGTGTGAATCAAAACCAATAGTACCATTTTGGGGTACATACACCACCCATTTTAATCTATTATAGATTGGGATGTTCACTGGGGGTACGGGATTTAGACCCATGCTAGACAGATGACACGTAATGTTGACCCCCTATTAATCAACCCCACTTTATGAATAGGGGGGTGGGGGCCCTCCAAAAGTGAACGATCCCCACTAAAACCAAGGACACCCCCATATTAATAAACAGGGGTTGATTAATAGGGTGCGTTCATTACACCACGTACACTTGTTCGCAGGTATGTGCTATGCAGTGAACCAAATCGTCGCTCAAATTTCATACACACATGGCTTCTGAGCGTAGGCATCAACTCTCGGAGAATTTCCGGCTGTCGTACATTGCAAGCATTCAAGCTGCTCCTAATACGAAATCATGACCCACACAAAAAGATTCGACGTGTCGCGCATGCAGTTTTTGACATGCATTCAGATGATAATGTCCACCTACGATTAAGAAATGTTCCCCAAATAAAGTGTTTTGGGGACCCCGGACTGATTAATCAATGAATAAAGTTTTTTGGCCAGACCCCCTCCAGCTCCGCATCCCAGCCTCTGCAAAAAGAATCCCCTCATCGTTGTTGCCAAAGCAAGCTCTTTCTTTGGGTGATGCTCAATAATCCAAAACTACACGAATTCCCAAACCTCATGTTTTTGTTTAATATCTTTGTTCAAGAAACACAATATCAATCCCACAAAGGGGTACCACGCGGGAGCCCTGAATCTCATGCAAAAACATTATTTGAGAGCGGTCCCCAAATACAGTTTTTTGGCCAGCCCCCTTCCAAAAGCAAGCTCCCCATCCCAGCCTCTTCAAAGCAGCCGAAGCAGCCAAAGCCGCAAAATTGAATTTGTACTACTAAAATCAACTGCAAAGACGCTCCAACTCCACATTTGCAGTTGCAATACTAAAGTCAATTGAAAAGGCTTTCCCAAAAAATGCAAGCCTAAACTAGTATTCCCAATACTTAGTTTAGTGTTGGTTTACTTTTCCATCTTTGTTTGAGGCACCTCAGTTGTTTGGGTGGGAGGGTGGGCGGGGTTATTAATCAGAGGTGGACATTAAGCAGAAGACCAAGTTGAATCTCCCGTGACTCTGGGAATTGCATGATCTTCAGATGAGTACGGGTCAAAATTGCACAACCAGGGGACTGCAGGTTTTAGTCTTTTTTTCCACTTACCCGCGCAACCATTTTGGGGTTACCAACCATTTTGACCCACACCCAGATGTTCCTTGTTCATTATTTCACTCGAAGTGGGCTCACATGGATGTCGAATAACACCTTCCAAACGGAGGTGCTTTCCTCCAATTCGAATCTCTAGCGGCTCCTGCGGCTCCATTTCTGTTTTTGAGCAGGTGCTTAGGGAATGAAGCGGTTTTGGGGATTCCCTTAAAGGAAACCAGAGGGGATGGTTTCTTCGGGTCGTTCCAACTCATTCCCTGAGAACCAGCAAGCTGTTTGAGCGTGCAGGATTAAACCGCCCCCCCAGGTCGGCGATGTGGGCATCGCCCACTGCAAGCATTTATTTTAACGCCTCCGGCTCAGGCCGCCGACATTACAGGCCAGCTTTCTTATTTGCGTCCCTTTGGAATTGTCCCCTTGCCCCCCTTCCCCTCAAATATTTTGCCCCCCTTTCCCTGTCCAACACGCCGTCTGTTGTCGGCGGATTTTACCTGATCTGGCCAACCCCGTGCTTCGTGCACTGTTTCAAAGACAATCCTTAATCAATTTGTAGAGGTTGTACACCAGGGATGATGGATTAGGATTTGTCAACACTCCATTTTGAACAGCCCAGTTACGCGAAGAGTTTGTCGTTTTGCGGGTTTGTTTCTCGCAGCACTGCACCTCAAAGACCTAGTTGAATTGCAAGCTGCTGTCCGGTGCTGTTTAGTTGGGATCCTGCGTCAATGGTTCTAAGCACCGAAAGAACCTCTGGCAAATGAATTCGCAACCTGCCCTATCAGGGGGTTTGGGGCGAGCCCGTGACTGTTCCTTTCTTAGGGACGTCCTCATATTTTAGCTTAGTGAGTCATTACAATTCACCTAAAGTGGTGTTTGTCAATGTTCATTCCACGTGGCGCGCAGTGGAGTTTACCCATTATTGCCCGTCCTCAGTAGTCAGAGGATCCACAGCACCCACACTAAGTCAGGCTCTAAACAGGTTCCAACAAGAGGGTTCCAGCTTGCACCAAACAAAGAACAATCATGTGCTTACCCTTCGGTTCGAACTAGCATTAAACGCAATGGTTGGGTTAATACAACCGCCATGACTCACCTAAGGATTTTCATCATCCAAATTGGGTCCTTGCCATTCTTTTCATGGGGCTGAAATTCAGGGCAGCGATCTCCGTTGATCTCTCGGATTTTCAACTAGCTGGGTGAATTATAACGACCTCACACGACCGAATTCACCCCGCATGGTGGGTTTATGTGGGGAATGGCCCCCCAAGCACCGCAAGTTTCAGGCTGGTGAAATATGTGGGTCAAAATCAATCCACCAGGATACGGACCGCAGGTTTTCGTACTTGGTTCCATGAACCAGGGCAAACCATTTTGGGGTCACCAACTATTCTTGACCACCACTGCCATATGGCTGTGGCTCAAAAAACCCTTACCCAAAATGGGTTGCCCTAAGTGGAAACGCCAAAATGGAAGCCTAAGTGGAAACATGGGACCAAGACCCGCGCTTTGCTTTTTCTGTTTCACTTCGAGCCACAGGACTCCCGCAGCTTGCTGGAGAAGGCCGCAAAGTCGGAGAACGACGCGGAGGCCCCGGGCCGCCCCGTGCGAGCCCTCTCTGGCGGGACCTTTTGTTTTGTTTTTGTTGTGTGTGTGTGTGTTTAATAATAATAGTAATAATAATAATAACAATAACAGTAATAATAATAATAATATATATGTTTGCTTCACTTCCATTTGCTTAATATTTTCCCCCCTGTTGATTTTAAAGGGAATCTATCACTACTGGAAATATTTCTTCCAGGGGTCTTAACCAAATGGAAGTTCAGGGAAGCAACGAAGCAATGCAAGGGGATCGCACTCGTGTATACCAAGTCTGGTGGTGTGCTCCCATGTCAGGAGCCTATGCCATTAAAAGGCGCTTCTATGCCAGCGCGGAGCTTGGACCATGTTGGAATGTTCTATCATGAGATTGTAATATCCCATTCACACTTGGCCTATCACCTAGCCATGAGAATTATACACGTACAATTGTCAGACGGCACGCCAGCCCAGCGTGTGTTGGAGTGAGCCGACATAACTTGACGTCATTTGATATGTGCCGCTCAATGGTTTTGTCAATGCTTAACTTGCCCGCCTCATATCCGTCTGTCAAGGGACCTGTTCGTATTGAGTTGCCATTGAGTGCTTAGGTTCTGACGAACCACTTCAGACCAAACCAACGCCCAGTGATGCGTTTGTTCCCTTCCTTTTTGGAGCGTGTTATTTTTCAAAAGTCCACCGCCCTGTTCCCCAATGGCTACTGGGAAGGTGGGGCACACTATTCAAAGGTGCGCAGATATGGCATTGTTGATGTTTTACATGGCTAGAGCACGGCTAGACACGGATTCCTCAATCCTGGCTGAGGTTTCGGAGATGTACCCGCAATGGTGAATGTTTCAAACGTGGGCTTCTTTAGGCGGTCAATGTCTTCAAGTGGCGCTTGGCATCTTGCAAGACTATGGTCAAATCAAAAGATACCAGAGTCAGTGACGCCCGCCCCGAAACAGCAGTCATGGATTACTGATACTTAGATCTTGCTTGGGGGTCGGAAGGATCAAACTTGTGTTGACATGTTCTTACAGTATCGAGGACCCTGTCGTTAGCCTGCCGTTCGCCGTTTTGTTGGTCCGGGAGCTTGCCTAAAGAGTGGCACAAGCCTAAACGTAGCAACCAATCATCTCCAAGCAAAGCAACCAAGACCTCGCGGCAGATGCGGTTTCCTTCTTGATACTTGCAATATCCAGGCATTCAGAACAGAAGCACAGAAGGAGTCTCGACTCGAGTTGCTGTGCGTCCACTGCCTGCATTCTAGCTACTGCTTTGGATGATGTTCAACAGTGTCCCAAATCTAAGCTGACTAGGAATCGGGTTCCATGCAAATACTCGAGGCTCCCTCAAAAGCAAAGAGGCCCCAAGAAAGCAGAGGATCCGTGTCTTGGTTCGAGTTTGGACATATTGTTACCCCTCCCCCCCCCCCCCACATTGGGTGAACTATCGCAGAAAGTGGCTTGAGTGTGGGAAGCAACAAACTAGGTCGGTAGGATTCGCATATCCCATCGACCAGAGGCGGGCTACGGCAAGTTCGTCAAGCAGAGCAACGATATGCTGCAGACACTGCACAGAGATCTCATCCTCAAGTCCCGGGCGCCGCTATGCTGAAACGAGCTGGGCATTTTGGGACGCCCAACTTGTGTGTGTGTGTGTGTGTGGGTGCGAGCGCGCCGCGGGCGGGCGGGGGCGGGCGGGCGGGCGGGCGGTGTGTGTGTGTGTGTGTGTGTGTGTGTGTGTGTGTGTGTGTGTGTGTGTGTGTGTGTGTGTGTGTGTGTGTGTGTGTGTGTGTGTGTGTGTGTGTGTGTGTGTGTGTGTGTGCGTGTCTCTATATGTTTGTGTGTCTGTGTGTCTGTATTTTTGTTCTAAGTTGGTTGTTTTCTAGATCTGAGTGTGTTTGCGGCTTTGTGTTCATGGTTGTATTTCTTGTTTGTGTGTATTTCTTTGATTTGAGGGTCGGCTTTTCTCGGGTTGTGTGCAGTTTCTCTTTTTGGCATGTACTGATTTCTTTGTTTGCCAATAGTTAGAGACAAACCCAAATGCCACTTAGCGCCACTGGAGAAAAAAAAAGGGGACGTGCCGAAAAGGAGTCCGGGACGCCCGGCGGCCCCTGTCCGTTTCTGCCTAAAAGAGGGGTCGAGCCCATTTTGACAACCCCGTGTGCGTGTCCTTTGGGATGTACCTGGATACAAGTCGCTTTAAAACAAATGCCTGGGGCTCGGGGTGGAGGCATCAAGATCAGGAGATGCGATATCTATCTATATTCGGGACTTCGAGGGAGCGGGGGGACGAGTTATTGAGGGTGTGGACTCAAATCGGCAAAATGGCCCAGCTTTCTTTGGGCTTGGATGTTCCTCATTCCTCCCGCTTGGCAATCTGTAAAACCATGGTGGACATGTAAACATGGCTATATCCTTCCAGAAGTGCAACTGCCATGCACCATAAAAGGGGTGAGCATTGAGTGTTCAGGGCTTGGGGGTGACCCATGGACCATCTTCAGTGAGAATTTCGGACCAGTCCGCCTGGGCTCACCATGCTAAAGGTCCTCTACTCGGATCCCTTAATTCAGCTTTTGGAACTAGTAACAAGGTTTGCAGATGGGGTCCTTTGGGTTTTCCACGCTCGTGATGTTGATTTTGGCCCTTGCACTGGATGTTTTGAGTGGAAACCTTGGCGCGTCAGCCCCGGTAGGTCATCCTAGTTCAATCGCATACCGGATACTTGTTTTCAAAGAAATAGAGCTTGGGGCTCTGCACCAATCCTGTTTGGGTGCTGGTGCAGGATCACGGAAAAAACGGGAAGGTTCCGCTGCTTCAAGAGAAACTGCCGGGGCCGCAACCCGGCGCGACAAAAGAAAACACAAACCGTGGCACGACAAAACGAGCTGAGGCAAGGCAGGGCCGAAAGGCTGTTGGCTGGCAACCAGGGTGACTTGGATGCGGTGCTGCTGGATTTGAAGGACTTGCTGGAGCAGCAAGGCAACTTGCAGGCGGGTGTCGTCGGGCTGGGATTCAAGAGTTGCTGGTGCGAGAGATGCTGGGAATGAGGGAATGACCCCTTTTTGTTAACCTATGGTTTGCTTTAAGGGGACCCCTGGGTTCGTTCCCACATTCCTTACTGAGCACCAGCAAGAAGATGCTTGATGAATTGAGGCACTCGCTATTGTTAAAATAACTCGTCTTTTGATTTAGCTGGGGCTGCCAAAGTGTTTTTCTTGTCCCTACAACTGGCTTAACTAGTTGGGATGCTTGATATGCAGCTACCAAAGTGAACTCGTGTACAACTTGCGATGTCAGCTGCGACAGTGTACTTTGCATGCCGCTGAACGTTGCAAAAGCCCTTTCCAGTTCATGTTGACCCCATATTTGTCAACCCCCGTTTATTAACAGGGGTGTGTCCCTGGGTTTAGTGGGGAATTCTCACTTTTGGAGGGGCCCCCGCCCCCTACTATTAGACCGGGGTTGATGAATATGGGATCAACATTATGGCACCTGCTCGAACCCAGATTGTCGCTTGAGCCAAGGCATGTATCGTTTCAGGTTGCGCAAGGGGAGCTCCAGTGCCCGCCAAAAAAGAACTCCATGCCTTTCCTAACCGCATGCCCCACAACTAAATGCTTTCCCCTGTTAAACAAACCCAAAGAACGGAAACAACCATAAGGGGCTTCTCTTTGTAACCCACACAAGAGCTGGAGATCGGCTGCGAAGAGTTTAGCTTTTTCTGGCGCTAATCCGTACGGAAGTGAGAAACTAGCCCAAGCCAAACTTGCTTGTGCTCAGTAAGGAATGCGGGAATGAATCCAGACACTTCCTTCAAGGAAATCATAGGGGATGGTTTTTGGGGGTCATTCCCTTAGTCCCTGCTTATCGCATCAGCAAGCAAAGCTGGCACTGCAATCACACCCCGCCCATGTTATTCCCCAAGGCCCAGTGCGACTTCCTGCTCAAGAACTTCGCCGCATCCCAAAGCAAACGCCAGGAGGAGATTCAGGCGGCGAAAGTGTCTCGAGGAAGCCCTTCCCTTGCTCAGCATTGCTCCTTTCTTTTGTTTCTGGGTCCCCTAAAGTGAACTTTTTAGGGTGGTTCTGGGGGCGGTGTCCCTTTTTCCCATCATTTTAGAGACTATGGCCTCGCACTAAGCATGCCGACGGGTTCAAACAACTCATGAATGCTTTCGGGAGTGGGAAACTCTTGAAATTTCGAGGATATTTTGTGCTAACCTCAGAAAAGAACAGGACCTCCAAGGGTTTCACTGGCTTCGTTGGATTCCCGTTTTCCGGGCCAGGTTTCTGCGAACCCTCTTTGGCTGGCATAGGGAATTCGAACGGAAACCGGCCAGGGGGTGGATTCGGTTAATCTAGCTACTAGTTTGTGGCCAAGGTTCGGGCATTTGGGGGCTCACTACTTTCCCAGCAAAGGCAGGGTAGCTTCCTGTATGGTGACCACATGAAACTGCAGATTTGTTTGGACCGCGGCTCATGTGGTATGTTTACAAGTTTAGAAAGGACCAATTCTTTAGCATGTTCAAATTGAAATTGAAAGGTTGGCCCATTTGTCGTCCCTATCTTTCTGGACATCGATCGTGTGAACCACCGGTGGTGCAAAAAGAAAAGAGTTCCCGAAAAAGGCATTGGGTAGATGTCCTTTGAGCTGGGGTGGCGGTCCATGTGTTCGGTGTGAGAAGGCGATCAGGCTCCGACCCTGGAACAAGCCCCGCCCAGTCGTATCCCCACCCCCGGAACCGCCTGAGACCCCGCGGAACTGCAAAGGGAGAGAGTTCTTTGCAGCTTTCGCTGAGCAATGTGAAAGAGGCGGCGTTGGACGCAAAAATTGTCCATGTCCATGCGGGCAAGAGCATGCATGGAAACACCGGGGTTGAGTTGACCGTTTTGGAGTTGAGGACCTTTGACAAACCCAAGCACTTGGAAGGCTGCCTTTCATCTTTGTTTGCTACCGTACACATGTGTTTGTACGCAGCTCAAGACCAGCAGTGCCCTTAGCAGACATGTTGACTCGGAATCCACTGATATTGCACGAAGAGCAAGTGTTCAAAGTCGACTCATTTGGGCTTGACTACGCACATGCTCACTTTCTGAGTTCCTGGACTTGAAACTTTTTGGGAAACAACAAGTGCTTTGGGCGCTCAGGAAGTGAGCATGAGGGCAAACATCTCTGCAAACCTCGTTAGGACTTCCGCAAGAAACTGGAATGTCAGGCATTATAAGCGTACCGCATATGACCAGATGATGTACTTCAATTTGCTGAACTGAGCAATATTCATTATCCCTGTTGGTTTGTGAGGGATCCATCACTACCAGACAAATTGTTTTTGTTTCCAAGCGACCTAAAAGCAAGTAGAAGTGTATGGTTCTAGGGCTTGATTCCGTCCATTCTTTTCAACCATCGTTCTTTTCAAAAACCGGATACGTTTCCCCTGGGGCTCTGATGGTTTTCTAGAAAGATTCGGATCCCTGGGTTCAGAATGGAAATGGAAGGTACCCCCTAGAAGGGGTTTTTACCCCTGGCCGGTTTTTCATGTTGGCTCCCTTTTGCGTCGCGTGGGGTTCCGCGAAAAACCCGCAGGCCCTGCAGGAGTCCAAGGCGATCCTGTCGTGAGAAGCAAAAAGCGCCGCGCCAACGGCGCATTCCTTGCGGACGCTTCCACCGGAAATGCGCGGGCGGGAGAATTGCGAGATATATGGCGGTGTGTGTTTTTGTTGAGGGTAGATAAGGGTACCCGTTGTTCTGGACACTTCCCAGGTCCCCCAGCAATTGGTGCCCTTTCTCACCAACGTTTTTGTGGGAGGGTTCCCCTAAAATAGACTACAGAAAAAAGGGTAGACTACTAAAATCGACCTCTTTTTTAAAGGACACTTCCAACCATGCACATGCTCACATGGGCATGTGCCAAAACAGCGGGCCAAAAACGAGCGTTCGTTTTGGTTTCCCTTGGAAACACTTATCCACAATGTAAATGTGTTTGGGCAGGCAATATATAAGGTCTACTACTATGTCGTTCCACTGGGGGCAGGCCCTCGCATCCGTAGGATCGGCCGGATGCGAAGTGGACTTCCCAAATCCTTCCTGCAACAAGTATAATTTGGTTCCTGAGCTCGTTCAGACACATCACGTAGTTTAAGGAGAAGAGAAAGGTCCGTTGGTGTTGCCCTCTCACCAATAAACAAACATGGAACCCGACAGCGGGTCCCCTTAAAAGGAGAATGGTCTTCCAGGACCCTGTCAGGTTCCACGTTGATCGGGAGGGTATGTAATTAACGTGTTTTGATGGTGTGAATTTACGTGGCGGGCGAGTGCCAAGAGGTTGCCTTTCCATTCATCGGGTGTGTGAAACCGGCAAGTGATATGGATCCGAGGGTCGGGAACTGACCTTCCAGGGCAGACCCATTTCACCGGGGTTTGAACCGGCTTTTGTGGAGGGTAAATGGGCAGGAAACAAGCAGACCACTGGGCTCCAAACCACCAAATAGAGGGAAGTTGACTATTTGGAGAATGCCGCTGTTCTGGTTGGTGGCAGTACTAGTAGCATCATTGTAAGCTGGAACATCAACCGCAGGTTGGCCAGCCTGCCGGAATCCATGCCGTAGACCGTGCGTGCGTTTGTGTGCGTCTTGAAGTAGGGACCCCTCAAAATGCTGCTTTCCCATTTGATTTTCCACAACGAAAGGCACATCCGTGTACCTTGCCACGGCCACGTCGTGGTCTCGCCTGTCGCGAGGCGCTTTCGCTCGAGCGAGTCGACAGAACTTGGGCAGCCTTGCAGTCACCACGGTGTCAGAAACACGCGGGGGCAAAGTCAAATCCATTTGAGACATGTTTGACACTTTGACACCAGCAAACGGCTGGATGGCAGGATCCAATGTACGCCAGACAAATAAAACAAGTGAGCCATAAGCATCTCAAGCCCAACACCACTAGCGAAGCAGTGCTTCCCTCAAAGTCGACTTTCCCAAAGCGCGTGTTCCAGAAACCTGCGAAAGGCTCGCGACGGGGCGCCATGACGCATCTGGCGCGCACTCGGCAAGCCACGGCCGTGGCCGGGGGCGCCCAGCGTGATGTTCTCCGCAGTTCTGGTGCTAAGGTGATGTATTTGCATTTTTACCCAAAGGGAAACCAACAGGGGGCGGGTAGTGTTTGTCTCTTTTTGGTCCAAGCGCCCTAGTCACAAGTCCTTGTTTAGGGTCGTTAAAGGGTTCAGAGGTCGTTCCTTGGAGTTGCCTGGATGGATCACTGGGGTTGACTCATGGCAGTTTAACCTGAGGCTTTTGTCGACCAACACGTGTAGTGAGATATCATGAACGCTGGGGTTCCGAGGTGTTCCTTGGTTTAAGTTTAGCCTTCATAGCGTTTGATTGCCAGGTTCGGTTGAGTTGTTTTTGCAACAACGAGGAGTAAAGTTGGGGACACCACAAGGAGTCCAGTTGTTGTACTGTTGGGGATCACGCTAACTGTAACAAGCTGCCCAAGTTTGTGTGGTTGACTCGTTGGTTTGGTTGATCATTAGAAGTCACTGACTGCCTGGAATTCTGTTGAGATCACTGCCATGATTGCATTGCCCGCCGAGTTTTCAACTGGCAACAGGTGAAAGGCAACTTGGAGGGCCTCAGCTACGAGACGGATGCCTCAGCTACAAGTCATGTTTTGGTGGCGTGCACCGGGCAGCTTGACACGTGATCAAACCTTGGGGTTTCGGCATCTCACGCATCACCGGCTCGGGATTCCTGAAAGGAAACCATTGCGGATGGTTGAAAGGAGTCGTCCAACTCTCATCCCCTGCTGAGAAGCAGTCAGTTTTTGGGACCGCTAAAAATAGAACAACCGGAGCTCATTTGGCTCGGGGTCATTCCGATTCTCATCCTCTGCCTATCGAAGCCGTAAGTTTATGTTTGCTCACTTCCTAAGTTCAACTAAAAAAAATTTGGGCTTGGACCTTTTTAGTGGCAAATCTAAAGTTCGGGTACTTGTGTTGTGCCCACTCAGCCAGTTTATGTTTGAGTCCAAAGTAGGATCAAAGTCACCGGACCTCTAGGGGTACCTTCCATTTCCATTCTTTCCAGGGATCCTTCTTTCTAGAGATTCTCCGGACACCCAGGTTGAAAGCGGATCCGTTTTTTGGAAAGAACGATGGTTGAAAAGAATGGACAAGGACTCAACCCCTACAAGGTTTCCACGTTGGGTCTAGCCCGGAATCAGCACTCACTTTCTCCCCAACCAGGGGGTACCTTTCAAGGGCAGGTCCCTACCAGACCCTCGAGACTTGGAGGCACTGCTGCTGGGCGCTTTGGCCGCCTGCTTTGTGCGCAGCAGCAGGCGGTCCGGCGGTCCGGCGGGCGAGGAGATTCATGTGGCTGTGGTTTTGTCAAAACCAATGGTTCTAGGGCTTGGTTCCTTGTCCATTCTTTTCAACCAATTGTTCTTTGCAAAAAACGGATCCGTTTTCAACTTGGGCTTTGTTTTTTGTGGTTTTCATACTGTGGATGGTTGCGAAATCCATTTCGCACCACCGTTCAGAAACCCTGGCTTCTGATGATTCCCCAACGTAAATACCAACCAACCATGGTTTCAACCATGGTTTCCAATTGGTGCGAAATGGATTTCGTCCATCCACAGTATGGCCGTGGTTGTCAAAACCAATGGGATCCCATTTTGGGCTAGGTGCACCACCCATTTTAGTCTATTTTATTGGGGATTAGGATGTTCACTGGGGGTACCGGCTTTTGACCCATGGCCATATAATTAGGTCCCTTTTTTGGAGGGTACCCAGTTTTTACGTTGGTTCAGGTCTTCTTTGGTCGTCTGTTTTAAGACACCCCCATATATGTCCTCTTTTTGGTTCTTTTAAACAGCACCCTTTGCGCCAATCTTCAGTGACATTCCTTTTGGGTGATGTTCTCAGGTTGCAAGTATAGGGACCCCTAGGGCCCTTCAAAAGTGTTTCTCGATACAATTTCGTATTGCGCACTGCTTGCAGGGAGGGTGGGGGGGGGGGGGGGGTTCGAGCACACGACAATGTACAGATGTCCGACTTGACAACTGCCAAGAACCTTGCAAAGGCAACATTGTCTGGTGCAATCACTTTGAGTGACCCGGAGAGAACGCTTGCAGGCGCGCTGCCTTTTCTGGCACGTGAGGAATACAAGCAGCCCTCCCCCGAGCAAGCGACATCCCAGACACCCCAGCTATACAAAATGCAACTCGAAATTCTTGGAAGCCTTGTGTCTTCCCAGCCCTTGCTGAAAGGGTTAAACTTGTGCTTGTATGAGAAACATCAGACAACCTACCATCATGGTCTGCGGAATCTGGGGATCGGGCTTTGCCTGCCCACCTAGTTGTTCAGTTGATACCGCTTCGCATTAAGTTTAGACCACCGCAAGCAAAGCTGACTAAGTGTTGCCTCGACTTAGTTATCTGCTGGTTCAGTACTGCCTTGGTTTCATAGTCTGGGTCCCCCAGTAGTGCCCTTTCACCCTTGTTTGAGGGAGGGTTCTCCAACTAAAATAGACTACAGAAAACAAGTTGGTACCCTTATTCTAACCCTGGAGGACTTTAGTGCTTTGGCTTTTTTTTTCCCGCTCATGTCGGCCTGCCGGGCCTCCAAAATCCCACAAGAAACTTGTTTGCTCCACTCAGTTTCTTTCCTGGGCAGGGAACTTCGAAAGCAAACCGTTCTCTAAACCCTTTCGATTTGCGAACCACTATCGGACTTTTGTGGGTTGATCAATATTCCTGGCCCCCATTTAGTGGGAATATTAAATCTCTTTAGTGGGTTTCCAACCATTTGTCATCCCGTGTATCACGGACCTGTTGATCAACCACCATTTATCAATATTAAATATTCTGGCACGACCTCGCTGAATATGTCTTTCTTACTCAATGTGTTTGTCTCAAAATAGAGGAACCCCTAAACTTGGTGGTTTGCCGTTAAGCCAACCCCAAAAAAGAAGGTACCCTCATTAATATAACTTAAACAAATGAAGGACTCACCCAGACATGGCTACGATTTTTCATGTTAAATTGCCATGGTGGCTGGACATAAATCCCCGCCATGTCCAAAGGCCCATACTCACTTCCTGCGTTCATGGACTCGAAACCTTGGGTTTGGATGATAGTGGTGAACAAAAAGCCCGAGTTCGTGGACTTTAAACCTTGGGGGTTTGCATGATTCTAGTGGTGAACATAAAGTTTGCATCCGAAAAAAAAAACAAAAAAACAAAAAAAACATTCCTATACTATTTGGATATTTGTAGGTTTGGATAATTCTAGTCTGTTTGGGTACTTCTTTTAGGGCCATCCACTCGATGGGAAGTGAGCATATCGCATCTGGTGGCACCTGTGAGGCCTCGCGCGCGGCTTCGCACGGCACGGCACGCCAAAGGCCCAGGCCAAAAAACGTTGTGTTGAAGCCATGCCCTCTGTTCGGACACTTTTGTTTTTTGCCAACCTCTGCCTCAAACAGATAGGGCCCTTTGTTCGGACACTTTTTTTTTTTGCCAACCTCTGCGTCAAGCAGGAAAAAGGAGTTGCCATGCAACACCCGGTTTGTTCAGATCTGGCCCTGCCTAAGTTGAAGCAGATGGCAGTTGCCATGCAAAACGCAGATTGTTCAAATGTAAGCCAGACAAAACATGCAGATGGGGGTTGGCTTTCACTTACTCCAAAACTCC